ACACAAGCAGGGGGAGTGGGAGAGGGAGAAGCAGGCTCCCCGCTGAGCAGAGAGCCCGATGCGGGGCTTGATCCCAGGACCCTGGGACCATGACCTGAGCCGAAGACAGACGCTAATGACTGAGCCACCCAGGCACCCCCAGACCTGAGTTTGAAACTAATTTTGCCGCTTCCTGATTATGTGGTCTTGGGCAAATGACTTCACCTCCCTATGCCTCAGTTTCCCTCTTAAAGTAAGGGTGATAACTCATAATATCATAATCATAGCTAACGCACAATATTTATTTGAGTCAAGTACTGTTCCGATCACTGTACTTGGGTTAAGTCATTTAATTCACTTAACCCTTATTCACTTGACCTACCTTCTATGAGATGGACGCTGTGGTAGTACTCATTTTACAGTTGGGGAAACTGAGGCTGAGTCACTTTACTGAAGTGAGGTCACCTGCTTGGACCCATATGACTTGTGACTTCTTCATACCTCTCTGGGCTTCAGTTTCATTTGAAAACCCAAGACCCGATACTTCTGCAAGGAGACAGCACAGGGCAGACATCAGGGTCCCTGGAGCCTGGAGTGGGGGGCTCGTAGGTACTTAAGCCCTCCTTACAGTTGGTTCTCCCACCCTGGTCCACAGGGAGCAGCTCCCCGAGTCAGCCTACATGCACCAGCTCTTGGGCCTCAACCTCCTCTTCCTGCTGTCCCAGAACCGGGTGGCTGAGTTCCACACAGAGTTGGAGCGGCTGCCTGCCAAAGACATCCAGACCAATGTATACATCAAGCATCCTGTGTCCCTGGAGCAAGTGAGGCTGGGGAAGGGGGTGCGGGGATCTGAAGGGGGTGGTACAGGTGCAGACATTAGGGAAGATTTCCTGGTGGAGTGGGCAGGAGTCACCTTTTAGTCCAGGGACTCATTTGCTCATTTGTCCAACAGCTGTTGAGCCCCAGCCATGTGCCATGTGGTTGGTTTTCAGACTGTACTGCAAACAAAACAGATTAAAATCCGGGATCTGGTGGGCATGACATTCAGATGAGGAAGTAGACAGTAAACAAAAAGATTAATCTATGTGGTCTGTAAGAAGTTAAGTGCTATGGAGTAAAACAAAGGTAAGGAGGGTGGAGAGTCAGGGCAGGGGTGAATTTTTTTGTAAGGTGGTCAGGAAAGGCCTTGCTGAAAAGGTGAGATTTGAGAAAGATTGGAAAAGGGTGACGAACCCAACCATGTGGACATCTGGGGGGATGTGAACCGAGGAGAGGGAGCAGCCAGTCCAAGGTCCCAAGGCAGAAACATGCCTGGTGTGGCTGAGGGTAAGCAAAGATGACAGTATTTCTACAACAAGGGGAGCGTGGTCAGGGAAGAGCTTTAGTACTGAAGGTTAGGAAGTAGTTCCTAGAGCTGACGTCTCCTGGGAGGATTTTGCTGTGATGAGAAAATGGGAGAGAGCATTTATGGCCCCGCAGCACAACTCAAGCAAAGGAGTGGAGGAATGAGCTCGGGGTGAATCCTGCTCTGTCTCCCTCCTGTGATTGGAGAAAAGATAAGATAATTAGCTATCAGCCCAGGGCAGTTTGGAGAAAGAATGTGTGTGCTTGTATGTGTACAAACCAGGGAGGGCTTCCTGGAAGAGAAGGTGCTCAGTCTGCCTGGGGAATGCATGACTGTACGCTAAGGGTGTTATAGCAGAGGGGATTATGGAGGCACTGGGAATGTGGTGAGGCCTCAGCTGATAGGCCCGTATGCTACCTGCTCCTCATCCTCTTTTCCTCCCCACCCCTGGCCTCTACAGTACCTGATGGAGGGCAGCTATAACAAGGTGTTCCTGGCCAAAGGCAACATCCCTGCTGAGAGCTATACCTTCTTCATTGACATCCTGCTTGACACTATCAGGTGTGTGTGGGGGGTGGTGGGCAGGGTCCTGTGGGGTTCAGAAACAGCTTGGACTCTGGAGTCAGACAGCCCTGAGTTGAATCTCATTCTGGTCACTTGTGGTCTGGAGAGGTTGGGCACATCAGTTCTCCTTTTCTATGAACTGCAACTTGTCATGAGATTGTGGAAAACAGGCCACATCTCACTGTGGGCCGCTTATCTGTGTGCCCATATGATCCGGGCTTGGGCTTGGCACCCAGACAGCACTCAGCAGGCAAGACCCAAGCTGCCTGGCTCTGAAGTGCTCCAGTCTCACCTCAGGTCTCCTAAACTGCGGAACTCTCAGTTTCCTCTTCCTTAGAATGGGGCCATTAAGTCCCGCTCAGGGGTTGCTCCATGCACTAGTGACATGACATGGGCGGGTGGGTGTGACATTTACACATCCCTTGAAGAATAAAAGGGTTCAGGTCCAGGTGGTGGCAGAGCCAGTTCATGGAGGCAAAGTGCCAGACTGAGATGGGTTTCCATTTCTTGGATGGCAAAACCAAGCTCAGAGTTGTGGTGGAAGTGAAGAGAGGTAGCTTAGTGAGTTTAGATTACTTTTAAATGAGAAATATTTGGCTCTCCAAAATGAACAGGGAGTAGTATATAACGAGTGTCTGTATACCTGCGTCTGGGTCTAAGAGATAAAATACATCAGAAATGGGTGCACACTCCCTGTTACTAACTTTTCCCTGGAGCTGACTCCTTCATTTTCAGTCACTTGATTCTTTGATGTTTTTCTACTTCATTATTGATTTTGATGCCTCTTAACGGGTGGCAAGGAACCCTCCCAGGATCAGATCTAGAAATGGGGTACAGCATCCTTGTGTGTGGGGGGAGGGGGTTTCTGTAAAGAGATGCCCTCATGTGAGTCCCAGGCTGGGTTTCAGACAGCCTGAAGTCCTCGTGCTGGGAGTGGGATTCAGAGTTTGAGTCCAGGAGTCTCAGAGATCTGGACCCTGCTGTTGCCCTGGCTTTGCAACTCTGGTCAAGCTCCTCCCCCTCTCCAAGCCTGGATGAAACAGGGCAGGAAGCATGTTCCAGCCGTCAGTGCTGAACTGTCAGAGCTCACACGTGTCAGGCCTGGGAGGACAAGGCCTGAGGAGTTGTCTGTGCTCAGTAATGAGAGCCTTGTCTTTCCTCAGGGATGAGATTGCTGGGTGCATCGAGAAGGCCTATGAGAAAATCCTTTTCACTGAGGCCACCCGGATCCTCTTCTTCAACACACCCAAAAAGATGACCGACTACGCCAAGAAGGTGGCTGGGGCGCAGGGCGAGGGGCCGTGGGGCCAGGGGTGCACTCATAGTAGGGTTTGCTGGAGGGACTCTGGAGCAAAACTGCACATGTTTAAATCCACGCGTGAGACCACAGGCAGGTTGCTGAACTTCTCTGAGCTTCGGTTTCGCGATCTGTAGAGTGGGGCTAGAATTTAACATGTGGGATGAGCTTAGCTTAGCATGAGCACCTGGCAGGAGGTGGAGGTGGACACTGACGCTCAGTACCTGTTGAGCTATTGTCCCTAACAGAACTCCTTAAGAGTTTTTCTCCGCGAGCCTTTGCCTCATTTGGCCTGGGCTGTTGATGCAGGAGTAGTGCCCTTGGAGACATTGGGGCATGGGGTGTAGGGACCCCGGTAACCGAGGGGGGTCAAGGCCAGACTGGAAGAGGTGAAATCGAACTTGAGCTATGGTGACAGCTGATATTTAGTGATCATTTACATGGCCAGACACTTCTCAGCACTTTAGAGGTGTTGATTCACTGAATCCTCATAGCAGACCCAGAGAGGTGTGTGATGAGAGTCCTTGTCTCAAACACGGAGAAACGGGGGCACAGAGAGGTGAAGTTACTGGTCTAGAGTTGTGTGGGTAGAGTAGGGGTGGCGAGGAGCGGGAGCCAGGGCCCGCATGGGCACGTGCTGGCTCTGTGGGGTGGTGGGGGGTAGCCTGTGCAATCACCCCACCCATCTGTCACCCTTCCCTTCCTGCAGCGAGGGTGGGTTCTGGGCCTCAACAACTACTACAGCTTTGCCAGCCAGCAGCAGAAGCCAGAAGATACCACCATCCCCTCCACGGAACTGGCCAAGCAGGTCATCGAGTATGCCCGGCAGCTGGAGATGATCGTCTGAGCCCGCCCGGCGCCGGGCTGGGGCCGGGCTTGCCCTATTTAAAGCAGTGGCAGGGCAGGGCTTCCTCCAATAAAGGTGGATTGACATTCTCTCTTCTAGGCCCTTGTCTCCCCGGGTGGAATGGTGGGGAGACAAGTTCCTTATCTCGGGAGAACTTAGAAGTTTGGGGGCCCTCTGGGAGCTGAGATAACCCTCTGTTGGGTCAGCTTCTGTCCAGCGGCCATGGCTGAAGCTGTCCGATGGCAGCCCATCCCAGGGGCCCAGTGGCAGGGGAGCCCAGGTTCCAGGTAGAGGGGTTGCAGCCAGCTGTGGACCCACAGGAATGCCAGGCCAAGGCACAAGTTTCTCAGCGAAGGGGGTGACGCGTCACAATTTTTAAGATGTTTGCAATTAAACCAGTTTGTTCAATGACGTGCGAAATGGAACCCGTCTGTGGGCTACCAGTTTGAGACCTCTGTGGAACGATAGGTGTGGGCGCCGGCATGGGCTTGCCCTGGTTCCCACCCTTCCTGAGCCAGTGCTGTAACTTAGGACCTTCTGAACCGTCCCAGCCTGGGTTTCCTGCCTTGAAGTTCTCGAGAAGGTATTTAAGGCAGAGTCCAAATCTGGCTGAGCCATCTGTGGGATGTGGGATTTTCAACAAAGTCTCCCAGAGTCCGTTTCCACATCTGTATAAAGGGAGTGATAACTCCTGCTTTCCAAAGGGATTTGTGCTCAGCATTTCAGCTTGCAATCAGACTGGCTCAGAAATGGGGTTGATGGTATCAAGGGTAATGAGACTGTCTCAGCCCCGGGCCCATCAGTCCAGGTGCCGGATGCCTGGAACCTCCGTCACTGCTGCTCTGGGTCCAGTCTCCTTAACTGTTTCTAAGATGTGCTTTCATGGAGGCCTCTGCCCTAGCCCACTCCATCCCTTCAACCCTGAGCAAGTGACTGACAGGTAGCTAGACATCTGGATGGTTATTTTATTGTCAAGGAGTGGGAGGCAGAGGGCACTGAGCAGACTGCACTCAGTTGGAATGCGTGGCCTGCAAGTCGTAGTGCTCCAGCCCGGCCACCAGGGAGCCAGCCAGCTTGATGGTGGCAACCCAGGGTGGCTCGCTCAGGTGGTTGGTGGGCGTGCTCAGCCTAGAGGGAGGGTAGAATCAGTAGGGCCTGGTCATGTGGCCAAGCCCTTTCCCCTACTAGGTTTCACTTTCCACATCTATATGAGGGGCCATGTATGAATATCACAAAGGCAGTCTAGGGCAGGGCTGTATCCACTTAAATTAGGAAAGGGGGCTGAGGGTTGGTGATAGTGTCAGTGTCCTGTACTCCCCTCTCCCCCACCTGGCCCATCCCTACTGAACCCCCCCCCAAGGAGTCCAGAGCAGAGGGTCTCTCTGTGATTCAGAATCTTTGGGGGCCAAGGTCCTATAATCCTGGTGACCGTGTGTGTGTGTGTGTGTGTGTGTGTGTGTGTGTGTGTGTAGGGGGAGGGTGTAACTGAAAGATATCTCCTCTGGGCCTGAGGACTCGGGAATAGCCTCTGCAATAGCCTCTGCAGTACAGGGACTGGGACATCAGTGCCCTCTGGCTGCCAGAGTCAGGAGAAGTTGCCATAGGCTGGAGGGGTCAGGGACTTCCTTGGAGGTATGCATTCATCTCTGCTCCTATCCCTGAAAAGCTTGCGACATGGTCCTTCTTGGTGCCCTCGGACAGGGTTAAGGCTGTGAATAGGGTCAGTCCAGCTGGCACCAGCTTCCCTCCCTGATGACTCCAGAAGGTCACAGGGCCAACAGTCAGCTTGGAGATCTGTATACCAAGAGGCTGGACCAAGGTGTTCCCTGTCCCTGGTCAGGGGTCAGTATGGTGTCAAGTTTTCTCTTAGTCCTGAAGGATTGGAGCTCAGCTGGGTTTGAGATACAGCCAAGGAAGGAGTCGGGGGTCAGCTGGGGTCAGGACTCCAAAGGGCTGAATGGGACTCTATCTGGGAAGGTTGGGTTCAGGAGTTCAAGGGGTATGCCCTCCCCTCCCTACTCCCCGACGACCTTCCCTCACCAGGCAGACACGTTGCGTGGCAGACGGCGGTGACGCGGCTGGTGGCGGCAGTAACACTTGTAGGGACAAGAGTTAAGCACCTGGAAGGGCGGCCAGTGGCGTGTGGTGCCCGTGTTAGCCATTCCCGCTGGAGGCGTCCCGCCGCCACCACCCCCTCCACCACCACTGTCGGTCACGGTAGCTGCAGTACGTTCGCGAGGACCATCTCCGGGTGCGCCATCCTCACGGGTCGCGCCTCGGGCTGCGCGGGGACCCTTGCTCCTGCGCGTGCGGGACTTGATGGGCGCGGGCGCAGGGAGCGTTGGCTCCGCTATGGTGGGAGCTGGAGCCGGGGATGGGGCCGGGGCCGGGGCCGGGGCCGGGG